GGCGGCCGGGGCGAGGCGGGGAGGCTGGCCACCCGCGCGAGGGCTGCGCCGCGGACGTGCTTTGCGGCCCCGAAGTTCCCGGGGCGCACTTTGGAGCGCTGGAAGCGCGCCCTGAAAGCTGCTTTTGCAGAATCCTCCCACCTGTGCCCGGTGTCGGGCTCGAGGGTGACCGCGGCCGTGGTTCCGTGAGCCCAGGCTGAATCTGCGCCAATCCCCGTCTTGTGTTTGAAGTTGGATATGTGGCCGTTTTTTGTTTGTTTGTATGTGTGCTTGCTTGCTTAGTGCGGGGCTACTCTGTCACCCGGACTGGAATGCAGTGACATGATTACGGCTCACCACAGCCTCGAACTCCTGGGTTCAAGTTATCCTCCCTCCTCAGTCTCCACCTCGCCCGGCTAATTTTTTTTTTTTTTTTTTTTTTTTTTTTTTTTTTTTTTTGAAAAAAGAAGTTTCACTATATTGCTCAGGCTGGTCTCGACCTCCTGAGCTCAAGCGATCCTCTCACTTCAGCCTCCCAAAGCGCTGGGATTACAGGCGTGAGCCACCGCGCCTGGCTGGTTTTTTTTTTTTTTTTACGTGGGGAAAAATATCTTCAGGGGCCAGCTGAGGTTTAGTTTTTGTGCAGTTGTAATGTGTCGTTTAATAAAGTTCCATGTTAACGCCCTATCCGTCCACTAACCCCCGCTTGCCCTCCTCGAATAAGTAACCCAACCCATAACAATCCAATTTTTTTTCTTCACTGTGGCCTTAAGATTTCAAGCCTTTCTGAGTTGAATGGTTGTTAAGTTCCGTGGGAACAGTGCGGCTTTCTTAAAAGACCAGTCAATGGAAAGCCAATAATCTAAGGACGTGCATACCTCCTCCAGCTGCTTGTAAAGGGTGTTCCACTCACCCAGAAATAATACCTCTAACTGGTGGTCTCTGAACTGAAAAAGTAGCGAGTGGTATGCAGCCTTCTTCTTGTGGGATATGTAATAATGCAACAACCCACGCCTTCTAGACTCCGAGAAAAAAACGGAAGTAACTCTTCTCGGTTTGATAAGTGGAAAATGAAAAATGATTGTGATTGTGATCCACGGTTATCCTGAGAACACACCTGACACACCAATAGGCAGGCAGAGGCTTTGGTTTAATGATGGAGGGCGGAGAGAGAGAGAAGGATGTTTTTCCCAGAAACTTGATATTGGTCCCAAGCTACAAAAGTGCAAAAATCAACCATAAAACTTAATCATCTGCCGACAAGTTTCACTGCTTTCACTGTAGTGTCAACAATACGGATTTAAATAGATACTTCTGAAACACTAATTTGATTCAACAGCCAATTCCTAGTACATACAGTACAAACCACTTCTTTTTTTCTTTAGTTTCTGTAACATACTATTCCTGTAACTGTATATGAAAGCTATACTTTAAATACTTGCAAGGGAGAAAAAAAATCTGACACTTCTCACTAGAATGTGAGCAGGCATTTTATATTTTACCGATTTTTGTATTCTAGTGAATGAAACAATGCACAGCAGATAATGGGTTCTGAATATTTCCTTGTACAATAACAAATCAACAGGCAATTTCAAATTAATTATAGGTTTATCTCAAGTCAAAATAACTTTAATTTACAGTTTTTGAATTTGACCTAAAATAACTTTGGAGGTTATAGTGATCCCGTTGATTGATATAAAGCCATCCCTGTCCTTATCATAATAAAAATGAATAAACTTAATCGTTGTTTCTAGGCTCCGTTGGTGACAAATTGGACCCTAAGCATAAATTCCGACCTTCTTTCTAAAGATAATTTTAACAGTTGTCCAGGGTTCCTCTTACTTGGTTTATGACAGATCCTCCAAAAATAATTTCAAATTATTACCTGCTTCTAAAAATGTGAAAATTCCAAGTATCATAATAATACTTTTTACACATCAATGTTGCTTACAGGAATATATGTATATATAATTTGTAAATGTACTTTGAATTCTTTTTCTCTTGAAGGTTTATATAAAGATATACATGGTAATCCAGGAATAGAATAAACTCAGTGTGCAAGAAATGCAGGCATTAAAGTCCCTAGGATATATTGTCCAGATGAGAAAGTACCTGGAAGCTTCAGAGCTATTGCGCTAATATCATATAACGAGACACTGTCTGCTCTCAGAGTAGAGGTCAAGAAGTAATCTGGGCAATTTTTATAGGAAGGGTAGCAACAAAATACTTAAAGAGAAATTTGAATTCCTTAGAGTCTTTTTTTTCCTTTAACAACCACCTGCTATTTTTGAGCAACCAGGTGCATTCCAAAGCTTCTTTTGTTCATTTTGTTGCTTGAACACGTTGTTGTGGCTGGCCCTATCCAGGGCCAATAGCTCATTTATGGGCTACTTTAAATTACTACTACCTAAATTGCCCAAGTGAATTTTCCATCATAAAAAAGGAAAAAAGGAAAGAGGGGGAGGGAGGGAGGGAAGGAAATTTATAATTTATAATATATAAATCTGGATTACAAGAGGTTGAATTACACCATGTTAGAAAAATATCTGAATATTTTTAATGACTATAGTGCTATGTTGAACACAGGAGTTCTCAAAAATTTTTAAATGGAAAATGTAGCTACCTATTTTGATTATCATGCATTGTTTCACTGTAGAATTAGCCCTAATAAACTATCATACCTTTAGATAACACTTAATAATCATAACTATGTGCCAGATAGTGAGGGGCTCAAACTTCCTAACCTCTTCTACTTTGTTTCTATATAATTCCATTTTTATTTTTTCTGCTACTTTTTCTTTCTTTTTTTTTTTTTTTTGAGTTGGAGTCTCACTCTGTCACCCAGACTGGAGTTCAGTGGCCGCTCCCGGCCACCGCAGCCTCGACCTGCTGGGCTCCGGCGATCCTTCCGCCTCAGCCTTCCAAGTAGCCAGAATTACAGGCATGCGCTACCACACCCGGCTGATTTTTTGATTTATTGTTAGAGATGAGGTCTCGCTACCCAGGCGGGTCTCGAACCCGCGGGCTCAGGCAATCCACTCACCTCAGCCTCCCAAAGGTGTGGGATTATAGGCTGAGCCACCAAGTCCGGCTACTTTTTCTTTTGTAGAATGTATTGCCTTCTCTTGAGATTTAATAATTGTCGACAGCTTTAGAACTTATTATAATATTATTGGAATGGAGGATAAATTATATATACAGGATTGAAAAGGACAATTCTTGCTTGGTAATGAAGAATATTGTCGGCAATTTAGTAATGTTTGTAATGACAATTCAAACTAATGAGTGCTTTTTAAATGAAGGCTGATATCCTCATCAGAAGCAGGCACCAACCACATTAAAACATTTTTGCTGAGCTCAGGAAAGAGTTGATTATTATGATTAAGAAGTGGGTTTGATTCCTTAGTGGGTAACAGCTATAAGACTAAACCAAGAGCTGTTTTCCTCACACCAAAACAAGTAAAGTATTTTATTACTTATTTGTTTAAATCCCTTTGAAGTTCAAATAGCAAGCTGTCAGAGCAAGTTAAATAAGTTTACACCATAAGGTGCAGCATTGATTATGCCTTCTAAGATACCCCCCATCCTCCAACAATTGTTGACGCCTGCCAGAAAACATTAACTATTACTTAAAATTGACTTTTCCAATTTCTGAAGTTGAAAGACTTAAATGTGTCACAAATTTGTTCTTTTTTTTTGAGTCGGAGTCTCACTCTGTCACCCAGACTGGATGGAGTGCAGTGGCCGCTCCCGGCCACCGCAGCCTCGACCTGCTGGGCTCCAGCGATCCTTCCACCTCAGCCTTCCAAGTAGCTGGAACTACAGGCGCGCGCTACCACGCCCGGCTAATTTTTGATTTATTGTAGAGATGAGGTCTCACCAAGTTGCCCAGGTGGGTCTCGAACTCGCAGGCTCAGGCAATCCACTCACCCCAACCTCCCAAAGGCTCAGGATTACAGGCTGAGCCACCGAGCCCGGCTACAAATTTGTTCTTGAGTATTCTGAATTTACAGAGATTTTAAGTTGTAAGTTTATTTTCTTTTTGAGTTGGATTCTCACTCTTTCATCCAGACTGGAATGCAGTGGCACACTCATGGCCACCGCAGCCTCGACCTGCTGGGTTCAGGAGATCCTTCTGCCTCAGCGTTCCAAGTAGCTGGAACTACAGGCGTGTGCTACCACACCCAGTTAATTTTTTGATTTATTGTAGAGATGAGGTCTCGCCAAGTTGCCCAGGCGGGTCTCGAACCCACGGACTCGGGCAATCCACTTACCTCAGCCTCCCAAAGCACGGGATTACAGACTGAGCCACCGAGCCCAGCTCAATTTTTTTTTTAATTGTAGAGATAAGGTCTCTCCAAGTTGCCCAGGCTGATCTCGAACCCCTGGGCTCAGGCAATCCTCTTGTCTCAGCCTCTCAAAGTGCGGAAATTATAGGCATGAGTCACCAAGTTTGGCCATTTTGTGATATTTGAATACCATACTTTTCGAAAATAAAATTATTGAAAACAAGAATAGTTTTGTGTTTTTTTTTTTGTTTTTTGTTTTGAGTTGGAGTCTCATTCTGTCACCCAGACTGGAGTGCAGTGGCCTCGACCTGCTGGGCTCCGTCGATCCTTCTGCCTCAGCCTTTCCAATAGCCGGAATTACAGGCACGCGCTACCACGCCCGGCTGATTTTTTGATTTATTGTAGAGATGAGGTCTCGCTGCCCAGGCAGGTCTCGAACCCGCGGG